ATTGAATGCCTCTAACCATTTCTTGATGTCACGTGGAGTGAATTGGATTGGCTGAAGCCTGGTATCTGTAATGCTGGGGACCACTGGAAGAGGCAGAGACGGATCATCCACTTGGCTCTTCTGACTGAAGATTGTTGTGAATGCTACAGCCTTATCTTTTGCATCGATGTGTTGGGCTCTTCCATCATTGAGGATGGGGATATTTGTGGATCCTCCTCCTCCAGTGAGTTGTTTAATTGTCCACCACCATTCATGACTGGCTGTTGCAGGGCTGCAGAGCTTCGATCTAATCTGTTGGTTGTGGGATCACTTTGCTGTGGTCATCACTTGCTGCTTATGCAGTTTGACATGCAAGTAGTCCTGTTTGGTAGCTTCACCAGGTTGATTCCTCATTTTTTTGGTGTGCCTGGTGCTGCTGCTGCTGACATGCCTTCCTGCAGTCTCTGTTGAATCAGGGTTGATCCTCTGGCTTGATGGTAATGGTTGAGTGGGGATATGCCAGGCCATGAGGTTTGCAGATTGTGCTGGAGCACAGTTCTGCCACTGTTGTTGGCCCATGGCACCTCACGGATGCCCAGTCTTGAGTTACTAGATCTGTTCAAAGTCTGTCCCATTTAGCAGGGTGATAGTGCCACATAACATAATGGAGGTTATTCTCAATGTGAAGGTGGGACTTCATCTCCACAAGGACTGTGTGGTAGTCACGCTTACTGATACTGTCGTAGACAGATGCATCTGCAGCTAGCAGATCGGTAAGGATGAGGTCAAGTATGTTTCACCTTCTTGTTGGCTCCCTCACCACCTGCCGAACCAGTGTAGCAACTATGTCCTTTAGAACCTGACCAGCTCGATCAGTTGTACTGCTGCCAAGCCACTGTTGGTGGTGGACATTGAAATTCCCCCACCCAGAGTACATTTTGTGCCCTTGCACTTAGTGCTTCCCCTAAGTGTTGCTCAAAATGGAGGAGTACTGATTCATTGATCAAGGGAGAATACACGATAATCAGCAGGAGGTTTCCTTGCCGATGTTTAACCTGAAGCCATGAGACTTCATGGGGTCCCAATTCAATTTTGAGGACTCCCAGGCAACTCCCTGTGACTTAGTACACTTTGCCTCCGCCTCTGCTGAATCTGTCCTGTCGGTGGGACAGGACGTGTCCAGCGATGGCGCTGGTGGTGTTTGGGACATTGTCTGTCAGGTATGATTCCATGATTGTGGCTATATCAGGCCGTTGCCTGACTAGTCTGTTAAAATAGTGCTCCCACTAGCCCCCATATGTTAGTAAGGAGGACTTTGCAGGGTTGACAGGGCTGTCTCTGCCATTGTCTTTTCCGTTACCTAGGTCAATGCCAGGTGATCTGCCAGTTTGATTTCTTTGTTGAGACTTTGTAGTGATTGATACAACTGAAAAGGCTTGCTAGGCCATTTTAGAGGGCAGTTGAGAGTCAGCCACTTTGCTGTGGCACTGGAGTCACATGTCGGCCAGATGGCAGATTTCTTTCCTAAAGGGCATTAATGACCCAGATGGGTTTTTCCGACAATCAGCAATGGTTTCATGGTCATCAGTAGATTATTAATTCTAGATATGATTTATTGAATTGAAATTCTATTATTTGCCATGATGAGATTTGACCCCAGGTCCCCGGACTGTTAGCTGGGTTTCTGGGTTGACAGTCTAGCAATAATGCCTCTAGGCTATCACCTCTCCAATCAGTTAAAATTAGAGATAACAAGGTGTAGAGCTGGATGAACACAGCAGGCCAAGCAGCATCAGAAGAGCAGGAGAGTTGATGTTTCGGGTCTAGAGCCTTCTTCAGAAATGGGGGAGGGGAAGGGGATTCTGAAATAAATAGAGAGAGAGGGGGAGGCGGATACAAGATGGATAAAGGAGAAGATAGGTGGAGAGGAGACAGGTCAAAGAGGCTGGGTTGGAGCCAGTAAAGGTGACTGTAGATGGGGAGTTAGGGAGGGGATAGATCAGTCCAGGGAGGATGGACAGGTCAAGGAGGCGGGATGAGGTTGGTAGGTAGGAGATGGGGGTGGAGCTTGAGGTGGGAGGAGGGGATAGGTAGGAGGAAAGACAGGTTAGGGAGGCGGGGACAAGCTGGGCTGGTTTTGGGATGCGGTCGGGGGAGGGGAGATTTTGAAGCTTGTGAAGTCCACATTGATACCATTGGGCTGCAGATTTCCCAAGCTAAGTATGAGATGCTGTTCCTGCAACCTTCGGGTGGCATCGTTGTGGCACTGCAGGAGGCCCAGGATGGACATGTCGTCCAAGGAGCGGGAGGGGGAGTTGAAATGGTTCGCGACTGGGAGGTGCAGTCGTTTGTCGCAAACCGAGCGTAGGTGTTCCGCAAAGCGGTCCCCAAGCCTCCGCTTGGTTTCCCCGATGTAGAGGAGGCCACATCGGGAACAGCGGATACAGTATACCACATCGTGGTAATCTAATCTCTCCTCCCCCGACTGCATCCCAAAACCAGCCAAGCTCGACCTGCCTCCCTAACCTGTCCTTCCTCCCACCTATCCACTCCTCCCACCTCAAGCCCCACCCCCACCTCCTACCTCCTAGCCTCATCCCACCTCCTTGACTTGTCCGTCCTCCCTGGACTGACCTATCCCCTCCCTAACTCCCCACCTACACTCACCTTTACTGGCTCCATCCCCACCTCTTTGACCTGTCTGTCTCCTCTCCATCTATCTTCTCCTTTATCCATCTTCTATCCGCCTCCCTATTTATTTCAGAATCCCCTTCCCCTCCCCCATTTCTGAAGAAGGGTCTAGACCCAAAATGTCAGCTTTCCTGCTCCTCTGCTGCTCGGCCTGCTGTTTTCATCCAGCTCTACACCTTGTTATCTCAGATTCTCCAGCATCGGCACTTCCTACTATCTCTGTAACAGTTAAAATTAGGGCTTGCTTTTTAGGACACAGATGAGAATTTTTCTCTCTGGGGTTTGAGAGACTTTGGAACTTTTTGCCACAGAAAGGAGTTATTAGTTATGTTAAAAGAGGTAGCTAGAAGATAGAAAGTGGAAAGTGGAATTACAACACAAATAAATCAGTCACAATCCTATTGAAGTCTAAAACAGGTTTGAGGGGCTGAATGGCCTACTGCTACTATTTTTATGGTCATGTATAATAATTAAAAGACTGCTGTTAAATTGGGTAACAGTATTCGTAGTTTGTTGAGGGGGCGGTAAGGTTTAGCCTTTTGGCTGCATTTGCTTGATAATTTGGGGGCTCATAATGTATGCACTGTACAAGTTCTGCACTACAAAGGACTGTTTTATAGCAGAGCGCCAATGTATTTCATTTCACAAAAGTCTCCATTCCTCCCCTCAAATGTATGCCACCATAACGTGAGTAATTGCCCTTGACATCAAGTTGAATGTTTGTGTGATTAAGAACCTTGATAAAACTGAAGTCAGTGGGGATTGGGGTCAAGTATTCAACTGTGTCAATTGTCGTAAATGCTGGTTCAGTGGTATCTTGCACAACGGCTGTGATTTTTACAGATCACTTGTATCAACCTCAACATTTCTGCAGGATTCCTCAGGATAGTATTCTAGGTCCGACCATCTTGAGTTATATGATTAATTATGTTCTGTCCCACACAAGATCAAAATGGGGGTGTTCATGAACGATTGCAGTGTTCAGTACAATTTGCATCTCATCAGGCACTATTAATTCTCTGCCTGTGTACTGAAAAACCTGAACAACATTCAGGACTGATAAATCACAAGTAACATTCAAGCCACAAAATTGCCAGTCTTGATCATTTCCAACATGAGAAACTATCTCACCAACTCCACTGGATATTCTATGGGATTTCAATCCCCCAGTAACAACATCCTTGAAGTTACTATTGACCAGAAACTGAACTAGGCCATAATTTTTAATATTGTAGCTGCAAGAGTAGGTCAGAAGTTAGAATTTTGCAGAGGAACTCACCTCCTGTCTTCCCAGTCCTTCTCCCCCATCTGCAAAGCCTAAGTTAGAGGTGTGCTGCAGCACTCTCCACTTGCCTGGATGAGTGCAAATCCAACAACACTGAAGAAGCTCAATACAATCTTTGATCCATGACCTTAAACACTCCCTGTCTCCACCATTGGTGTATAACAGCAGTAGTTTCTATGTACACGTTCTGAGAACCATACTGCAGCATCTTAACTAGCCTCTTTCAACAACACCTTTTTTGATTTGATTTGATTTATTATTGTCACGTGTACCGAGCTACAGCAAAAAAGTATTGTTTTGCGTGCTTTACAGGCAGATCATTCCTTACATAAGTACATCAGGGTAATAGAACAGAATGCAGAATACAGTGTTACAGCTACAGAGAAAGATCAACTCTAATATGTGAGAGGTTCATTCAAAAGTCTGATAACAGTGGGGAAGAAGCTGTCCTCAATACATGCAACATACAACTTCTACAACCTAGAAGGTTGAGGGTGACAGGCACATGAGAACACCAGCACTTAGAAATTCCTGTCCAAGGCATGAACCGTCCTGATTTGGAACTATATTGCCATTCCTTCATTGTCACTGAATTGGGGTACTGTTACTCTGCCGCCGCCCCCCCGCTGCAAGAATGTGAATTCACGTCACGTGGACTGCAGCACTATTTTAGTAGAATCATGATTTTGGTCTTGAAAGGGAAGTAGTTCACTTCCTTGGTTCTTAAAATTCAGAAAATCATAAACTTACACGTAGCACTTCAACGTTGTTTCTCTTAATTTGAGGACCTGTTTTATTTTATTTGTAACAGCTTGTGTTTACTAAATGTCCTCCACTTAATTCACAGTAACATTGACAGAGAATGTTTCATAAAAATTGTCTTTACAATATTTCAGAATCCTAAAATTTAAGTTGAAGTCATTTTTAGATTGGTTGAAATTGAGTCAGGTAGCACATTTAGTATAATGGATATTTATGTATGAAGAAATAGCCTGTGTTTATTGAATGATGGGTTTAAATATGTTAATTGTTCTATTGTGACTAGGGCAAAGTGGAGGTGGAAGCTGGAAAGGAAGTAATGAAGTTTGAAGCTGGTGCTTTCTCTTATTATGGCATGATGGCTCTTACATCTTCACCAGGTACGAATCTTAATTGATTAAAGAGTTATACTAGTTATACAGATCCTTATACTATATAAAATTAAAATAATTAATAAATTAATTAACAATTAGCTGGTTTTCTGAGAATTATATTTTAAAGTTAAAATAATTTATTCCAATCCATACTTGAAATAATTTACTAGGCTATGAGACATGCTTTTAATCCGAGTCAGTGTATCTGATACTATAGTTAGTCCCTGTAATACTGTCATACTCATTAACTGTACTGTAACACTAAACATTATCCGATCAATATGATTTGCATTAAAAGAGATCTGTTAATCTCTAATGAGCAGGTATAATGTGCAAAACAAAAGCCAAATACTGTGGATACTGGAAATCTAAAATAAGTGCAAAAATACAGAATTTAGTGTGGCAATATCTATGGATAAAGAAGCAATAAAGTTTCGGTAAAGATGTTACATTTCTGATCAAAGTTGTAATGCAGTAGCTTGGATCAGCTTCACCTGAACTCTTGCCCAGTTTCAATGCTGCACCACGTTTCTTGCCTACCCTTCAGAGCCCAGCTTCTCCTGTAAAGTGGAACAAACCTTCAGTTGGAGAGTTCCATCACAGGACTGGAATGTCAGAGGCAAAACTGGGCTGGCCTCCTTTTTATGGCGATAGCTGTCTTAAGACAGATTTAAATATAACATGTTAGTGAATGAGTGAATATCTTACGACAAAAGATGTGCAATTTATTTGTATCTAGATCTATATTTTTAACATTGAATTTTAAATCTGTGGCACATGGCTGTTGGTCTGTTTTCATGAAAGGGTTCAAAAATTAATTCGAACATCAAATTAATTTGATGACTTTAAAACCAGTATGTATTAAGGAGACCAGATGACTATAACAGCTGCTGGAGTGTTGATAGAAGTTTGTTTATATCAGGGGAGTTTACAGCAGTGAGTGAAAACATTACACCATTAACTGTTGCAGAACGTAGGGTGAGCAGGTTTTTAAAATTTAGTTAAAATTTCGTTTAAGTGCTTTTGGATTCAGTTTCGCACCTGGCTGAAGTTCAATGCAGTTAGTCTCTCCTAGAAAAGGAGATTGCTCAGAGCAGTTAAGGGAATAGTACCACAGTGAAATAGTTTAGTTTGTGAAACCTGTAGACCAAAAGTGTTTGGTTCAAGCTCTGTAGCTTACTAAAAGACTGTGCCTCAGTTGTTTGAATATTCAAATAAAAGTCTTTGCAGTACTCTGGACAGGAGCTAGAAGTAGAAGATGAGTCAAATCTGGAGATTGGACAGGAAAGGAAGGTTTCTCTGGATTTGATTCACCGTAAAATAATGATGTTAAGGAGTAGATGGGATTTTGTTCTGCAAAAAAAATTCAAATTGTGTTAGCTTGATTTGGTTTGTGTTTTTATTTCTTTGGAGAGGGTGAGCATTAGCATTTAGGGTTGCTTCTAACCCTAACATTAAAACCCTATCTACAGGTTTGTGTATTGTTTCTATGAAAGACTCCATGTTAAATTCCTTAAAAAAATATATATATAAATCCAGATTTCATTCTACAACCTGGCTTGTACATTGTAACATCAGGTAGGATCATAACATCTTGAATAAATAGAGCAGATAGGTGGATGAGATAAGTGGTTAGGGTGAGTGAGTAGAGTAACAAATGGATAGGGTACAAGTGGTTGAGGCAGGTCAGATCAGGAGGATAGGTCAGTTGTAATAGTCAGCTGATGGGGTTATAGTTATAATAAAGACCAAAAGAACTGTGGATGCTGTAAATCAGGAACAAAAACAAAGTTGCTGGAAAAGCTCAGCAGGTCTGGCAGCATCTGTGAAGGAAAAAGCAGAGTTAACGTTTCGGTAACCCTTCCTTCTGAGGCCCGGACCTGAAACGTTAACTCTGTTTTTTCCTTCACAGATGCTGCCACTCCTTCACAGATGCTGCCAGATCTGCTGAGCTTTTCCAGCAACTTTGTTTTTGTTATAGTTATAATAGCCGGTTAGTCTGGCCAAGTCAGGATTTAGAGATGAAGGAGGCGGTTACAGTATAAGCTCTGTATTTATTCAGGAGAGAGACTAGGCTTTTCCCTGTCTTGACATATCCTGGCTAATTATCCAGGTAAGTATCGTCGAACAGTCCCGTCTTCGATTGTAGCTCGGAGTTCCAAGAGTTCTGTGGAGGGCCTGGGAGCAGGAAAATTACCTGTCACAGATCACATGGAGTTCTGCTTATCAAGATGTCTTTGGGCAATGATGCAGTTCTTTGTTTGCACATCCTGCCTCTGTTGATCCAGAGAGTGTGTATATTGCGTAGTCCTGAATTTGGCATCTCACGTGCACCTGCGCTATTCTGCCTGTGTGTGGGGCTTCTTAAGTTCTAGGAACTGTATGGCTTTGATCCTATAAATACACTGTCAGAAGAATGAGATAATTTGTTTTATCCTAATTTCTATGGGAAAACTCTTCCATTTGCATTTCAGAAGAAAAATACTTTATCATAATTGAACTTCAAGAATTTGTGCAGGATCTGAGCAATGGAAATTGAAGTGTAGATTTTTAAAAACAAGACTTTTCAAAATAAATCTGCTTGAAACTCGTCACCTGAGCCCTTCATAGTACAGACCATATGTGAATCAAATGAAGCAGACCTCAAGGGCTCCTGTGGCATAGTGGTAGTGTCACTATCTCTGAGCCAGGAGGCCTGTGTTGAATTTCCTCCTGCCCCTGCGGTGTGTAACAACATCCTCTGAACAAGTTGATTAGGAAAAAAATGTCTGTGAATGAGACCCACATTTTTTTTTCAAAGAGACAGCAAACCCAGGGGCTGTTGTGGTGAAGTGTTAGTGACCCTATCCCTTGACCAAGAGGCCATGGTTCAAATCCCACCTGCTCCAGGAGTGTGTAATAACATCTCTGAACAGGTTGATTAGAAAATATCTAGAGGAGAGACTAACTGTAAAATCTCCTAGTTTGCAGATGGCACAAAGCTGCTTGGGAAGGTGAACTGAGACACTTATTAGAGCGCAACTGGATAACTAAAAAAAATCAGACCCAGAAGGATTGTTGTGCTACGTTAGTAGTATTTGAACCCTTCGAACCCAGGGGTAGGCCTGCAGAATGTCTGTCCTGGCTGAGACTAGCCTATACATGCCACAAGCAGTGGCTAGTTTTTGGTGTTCAACAATCAACCATGTTTTTCTCCAGTTGGCTTCCAGAGTTATTACATATTCTGTGGTAATTTCAAATATACCAACTTGCAAACTAATCTGGATGATTGGAGTCAGCTTTTCAGAAATGTGTAGATATAGAATAAAATGCAGTGATTATGGTAGAAATGGGATCCGAAGTTCACCAGCCGAGGATCAGGTCAAAGGGGAAGAATTAATATATATTGATCATGTAAAGTATGGAATATGTAACAATGTTTGGCCTGTCCAATCTGCTCATTCTGTAGGCCATGTGCAAGCTGAGGTGGTAATCCAATCCATTGTTAATATATAAAACATGAAATTGAAATGTCTTGGGAAGAGATTTGTTTTTTTTCTTTATCACAGCTTTAAGTGCTTTGTAATTTCTATTTTAAGGTACCATTTAAGAATTTCTGATGCTCTCAGTATTATGTTTGATAGCCCTCTAGTGGATATTTTAAGGATAGGATTGTAGATTAGATTTTTACCTTTTGAACCTTAAGAAATAAAAGCGTAAGATCCTTGGGAATAAATAATTAGTTACCTTAATTCATCAAAACTGTCCTACACTTATACGTATGTGCAATTCTGTATGCTTGTATATAACATTCCCTTTCAACCGCATACATGTGCGACAGCCTAGAAGTTACTGCAAAGGGGACTTGTACGCACAAGCATGAAATCTATTACTACTAATCCTGTATTGCTAATTTTGCACCCATAGTGAAATTGAATTTTTGCGCTGTTTTAGATTAAAGGCAATTTATTTGAATGTTTTTGTTTCACCAGCTTTATGTTGACTCTGTTCTCTCCTAAGATGTTGCCTGATCTGCTGAATCTTTCCACCATTTCTTGTTTTCATTTCAGATTTCTAGCATCCACAGTATTTTGCTTTTGTAATTAAAAGGCTTGTTAAAATGCCACTGTTGCTTATGAACTTCACGTTCCAATTTTCTCAAAAGAAAATAATGAATGCAAAAACAAATTAAGAATATAACTGAGTGCAGATTAGATCATTTTGAAATATACCGCATCAAACATGAGCAATGATGTTGAATGTGAATTCGAACATTTGAAATAATTACACATCTGGTCATTTTTAAGGAAGAAATTCGAAAAGCCTATGGAATGTAATCATTTAAAATAAAAGCTGTGAATCATTTTGAAATTTGACATTGCTTGCTACTATATTCAACATATAGAAAATTGAATTACCCTTGTGGTCCTTGGAGCAGGTCCATATAAATCAACACGGTTTGTTATATTAGAGACATTTAAGATCTTGGAACTATTTTTAGAAATTATTTTAATAGCACCTTTCACACGCTAAGGGGTTTGGAGTCAATGTTCAATGAACAAATCATAGCCTGTTATCTGTTGTTACAGTCATACTTGGAATGAGGTTCCCCAGTTTGTTACACTTCCAGACGGAATACCTCAAATCGTTAAGCTCCCAGGTGAGGAACATAACATAAGAACTAGGAGTAGGCAATTCAGCCCCTCAAGCCTGCTCTGCCATTTAATACCATCATGACTGAAATCATGTCATCTGCCATCCCCTAACCTAAAATTATGACCTCTTGGTACTACCAAGAGGAAATATCCTTTCTAGGTCTATTTTGCCAATCCTCTTTAGAATCTTGTATATCTCAATTAGAACTCTTTGAACTTACTCCCTTGGTTAGTGATGTGCCCCCTTATTTGGCCTCAACAAGGTTAATTTAGAAAGGATCCCTTACCTTGTGGATTGGTTTCTCCCAGATCCAAATGAACTTCTGTTTTGAAAGGAGTCAGTTTAATCAGGCTGACTTGAAAACAGTTGACTCATTGACAACAGCTCTTCCTTCAACACTAATTCCAACCAAACTAATCTCCAAACTCCGAGAGCTAGGTCTCTGCTCTGCCCTCTGTGACTGGATCCTTGACTTCCTGACCCACAGACCGCAATCAGTGACAAAAGCAACAACACCACCTCTATGATCATCTTCAACACCAACACCCCACAAGGCTGCATACTCGTCCCCTTACTATACTCTCCATACACTCATGACTGTGCGGCCAAATTTCGTCCTAACTCCATCTGCAAGTTCACTGACGACACCACTGTTGTAGGCCAGATCTCAAACAATGATGAGACAGAATACAGGAAAGAGAAAGCATGTTTGGTGGAATGGTGTAAAGATAACAATCTCTCCCTCAACATCAAAACTAAAGAACTGGTCATTGACTTCAAGAAGCAAGGTGGAGGGCATGCCCCTATCTACATCAATGGTGCTGAGGTGGGGATGGTCAGGAACTTCAAGTTCCTGGGAGTGGTGATCACCAACAATCTGTCCTGGACCACCCATGTTGATGCGACTGTCTTCCTAAGGTGACTAAGGAAATTTGGCATGTCTGTAAAGACTCTTAGCAATTTTTATTGATGCACCATAGAAAACATTCTATCTAGATGCATCACGACTTGATGCGGCAACTGTTCTGCCCAAGACTGTAAGAAACTATTCAGAGTTGTAAACTCAGCCCAGTCCATCACCCAAGCCAACCGTCCATCCAGTGACTCCATCTATACTTCCTGCTGCCTCAGGAAGGCAGCCAACATCATCACAGACCCCTTCCACCCCAGTTATAATCTGTTCCAACCTCTTGCATCGGGCAGAAGGTACAAAAGCTTAAACACGCATACCAACAGATTCATACACAGCTTTTTCTCCAGCATTATTAGACGTCTGAATAGATTTCTTAAATTTCAAATCTAATGCCGACCTTGCTTTTTGTGCACCTTCTCTGGAGCTGTGACATTGCATTCCTCACTCTGTATTGCTGCCCTTATGCACTTTGTGATCTGTCTGTACTGCACACAAAACAAAACAAAACTTTTCACTGTTCCTAGATATGTGACAATAATAAATCAAATCAGATCATTACTAAATGTGAGGAAAAAATAGTACAATACACATGCATACAGAGAAATAAGTGCGTCTAAAAGGTAATAAAATAAAAAGGAACAGTCTCTGAATTGTTCATGGGGAGCAGATACATGGACGTTAATGGATGACACTCGTAGCAGTTGGGCACTTGATCGTGAGGTTCTTGGTTTTATAGGTTGATTGAAGTTCCTTTATCCTAATTCCTTTTGAACTGGTTGGCAGCACTGAGAGAGATTCTTTCCCCTTTGTGTTACCTACACTTCAGGGGTATTTAAGTGGCTGTTCTCAAAACTGTAACCCTCCCAGCATTCTAGGGCATCAAGGCAATAACACAGGCAAGTTTTGCAGTCAGTATTTTAACTCTTTATATCTCTGGAGGGTAAAACAGATATTTCTGCAAAAGGTGGCTTTCTGCTTTGTTGGGGATGAAGGGGTCATCACTCCCCTCATTATCTCTTGTTAGGTATCTCCCTATAAGGGCGCAGAAGAGATTTACAAGGATGTTGCCGGGGTTGGAGGTTTTGAGCTATGTGGAGAGGCTGGGGCTATTTTCCTTGGAGCATTGGAGGCTACCGGGTGACCTTATAGATGTTTATAAAATCACGAGGGCATGGATAGGGTAAATATCCAAAGTCTTTCTCCCCAGAGTAGGGGAGTCCAAAACTAGAGGGAATAGGTTTAAGGTGAGAAGGGAAAGATTTAAAAGGGACCGAAGGGGCAACACTTTTCATGCAGAGGGTGGTGCGTGTTGAAATGAACAGTTAAAGGAAGTGTGGAGGCGGGTACAATTACAACATTTAAAAGACATCTGGATGGGTACATGAATAGGAAGAGTTTAGAGGGATATGGGCCAATTGCTGGCAAATGTAGCTAGATTAATGTAGGATACCTGGTTGACGTTAGACCGAAGGGTCTGTTTCCGTGCTGTACAGCTCTGTGACTCAATTCTTACTGATTCTGATCTATCATCATAACACAATAAAGCAGTCTTAGAAAATAACATCTCGAACTGTAGTTTTGCTGTTTCCTATTTCTTCTGGCCGAGGACAATAGAAAAACACAATAAAACCATGAAGAAATGTCTAGAAAACAAAAGCCTGGTTCTGAGGAGGGGTCACTGGACTCAATGTTAACTCTGATTTTTTTCTTCACAGATGCTGCCAGACCTGCTGAGCTTTTCCAGCAACGTCTGTTTTTGTTCTGGTAATTTATATTGGTTTACATTTGCCAAAAGTTATGATTAGCAATTTTTTAAACCTTCTTTGAATTCTGTTGGGGCTGTACTAATAGATTTAATTTAGATGCTGAAACATTCTGTAAGGCGCTGCATAATTTGTTTGAAAATTATGAAAATAATTAATCCGAACCCTTCGAAGCTTGCAACTACAATTGACCCAATTAACAAGTTGGATGACGTTGAGTGCTTTTGCCTAATTTTATTTACTATGCTGAGGTACCTGCTTTGACAAAGTACAATTCTTAACAAGTACCAAGTGTGTGATCTCAACAATAGAAAAGTGTGTTTCACTTGGGACTGTTAAGAAAGGCTTGCATTTATTTAGCCTGTTCCACAATGTCCCAAAACACATTACAGCCAGTACTTTTGAAGTGTCTTAATATGGGAGACACAGCAGCCAATTAACCTCTAAAATAAAAGTAAAATACTGCAGGCACTGGATATCTGAAATAAATTACTGGAAATACTGCAGCAGGTCTTCCAGCAGCTTTGGAGAGTGAAACAGAATTAATGTTTCATGTCAAATATGACTCCTTCAGTGTTCAGAATTTAAGATTATTAACAACTGTACTTATAACACAATGCCTGGGACATGCTCGATATTCAACTTTAATATCACAAATATAATTATCAAGTCAATACCTTGTTTTACTTACTCCTCCAAAGCTTTCAGTTGCATTTATAACTTGCTCAACTGTCATTTTCAGTTCTCCCAATTGACTTGAACTAACACGAGCTGAAATTGAAGGGGAAACTGATCTGAAAGTTGTATAATAGTAACTATACGTGCTGCAATATCAGGTGACAGAGCATGCATTGATTACATCTCATTGTATTTTATAAAATAATAGAATTTTATAACTTTGTAATTAGACATTTTTTATAGCATCCCTAATCACTGTTTTTGATTTTTCTAGTCTTTGTCCTCTTTGTTGTTTTGGTGTTGTTATGCACTATGGATAGGGCCTTTTTTCTAAGACTTAGCTTAATTATAAAAAGCTCTTAAGATCTATGATATAATTTTGAAGCTGACACATAACGATATAAGAAGAGTAATGTTCAAAAGGACCTTGAAGAAGTACCTTATCTGGTTGGGTGCTTCTCCAAAAGCACTGAAGAAGCACAACATTCTCCAGAACAAAGCAGCCTGGTTCATTGGCACCTGTTCAATATTCACTTCCTTCACAACTGACATACAGTGACAGCAGTGTGCATCATCCACAAGGTGCACTCTAAGCTTCTTCAACAGCACCATCTAAATCTGTGACCTCTCTCACGTAGAAGGTCAAGAGATTCAGATGCTTGGGATCGCCACCACTTGCAAGTTTCCCTTCAAGCCACACACCATCCTGACTTTGAAGCAGGCCATCATTCCTCCACTATTGCTGGGTCAAAGTCCTGGAAGTCTACTCCTAATGACACTGTCGGTTTCCTTGGATTCCAAGGGCAGTAATGGTTCAGCATGTCAGCTCACTCCCACCTTCTCTGGGGCAAGTAGGGATGAGCAATAGTTGCTAGCTTGCCCAGCAATTTCCATGTCCTAAAGAGAACGTCCACTGGATGGTGTTAAACTCATTAGGCCAGAATAGCTCAAGTGCTGATCCTTGGATTGTACCATTTCATCCGAACTCAGATCGGCAAAATATCTAATGCTGAAATTTGCTAGAATGGGCATCGTTCAACTTGACGTTCCATCCACAGTAATGTATTGATTGTCACTCTCAAGGTTTGTACACGAAACATGCCGGTTGCCTGGAGAGCAGGGGAAGCGATTACAGCCCTGGTGCTTCTCCTTGCCCACCTGCTGACCCAAGCATTGTGGGCCCCGTAGAAACCTGGGTCATTGTTATCGGGTTCTGATGCACCCCATCCTTGGCCTTGTTGAAGGTTGCCTGTGAAACAGTACCCTACCCAATAGGTCAATTTTTCAGGACAAGAGTGGAGAAAATTAGAAACTGTTTATTTTTAAAAATGACTTATTTTAATCACTTGAATTTATATTGGACAAGATTGAGATGGCAACTTGTCCTAAAACTTTCCAGTAAGAGAGAGTTTGGAAAATATGTAATATTGTATGGTTTGTGTTAGAGATTTGTAAGACAATATATTGTGTATAATCTGATTTATTGATGCTGACTTTACCAGAATTCTCTTGCCTTAATTAATACATACAAACATGTCAAATATTTTACCACTATTAATTTTTACATTTTTTTTGTTTTAATTTTTCACTTCCCATATAGTTCCTTTGTCTCTGTCTCGTACCTTTGCTGTCAGCAGAACTGAATCACTGGCTGGTTCACCAGGTAAATTTATACCAGTATGTCCTTGCTCTGCTTGTTAAATTTGCAGTTGGCACACGAATAAATGATAAAATTTAATCCAGTGTAACATTTAAATCTTTTCAATATGTCCAAAATACAATCAATCATTGCAAGAGTCCTGTTGCAGAACATATGCGGTATAAAGAATCCTACAGTTACAATCTAATCATAAAGTTCTCAGCCATCAATTCTTCAGCTTTTACAATTTCTCCATGTTTTACTTGTTCAAAACATGTGCTGCATATCTAGAATAACAGTACTATGGAGAGAAATGGCTGCATTGAGCTGAAAATTTCCAGGCCTGCAGAGGTGGCTTTGGAGACCCATGCATGAGGAAATTCTGTGTGGTGGAACAAACAAAATACAGAAATCGCTGGAGAAACTCTGCAGGTATGGCAGCATCTGTAAAGAGAAAACCAAGTTAACATTTCATGTCCTGTGACCCTTTAGCCAGTTCTGAACCCTTTTTTCGGAACTGGAAACATTAACTTTGTTTGTTTTCTGTCCACAGATGCTGCCAGACCTGCTGAGTTTCTCCAGCAATTTCTGCTTTGTTTGTTTCAGATTTCCAACAGCTGCAGTCCTTTTATTTTTATTAAAGATGTGTGGTAGGTTGGCTTCACCATATGTTCTCACCTGGAGACAGAGCAGCAGGTTTGAAGGTAACTTTTCTGGCAGTGGTGCGAACCCATTTAAGGATGCTAATAAACTTATCTCTAATTATCTAGACCCCAAGAGATACTACTAATGACACGCAGGATGCTTTGTTGTGTTAGGAGCTGGAAAATACATTGGAGACAGCCGCACATTGGGACGTCTAAGATGTAACTCTTGTTGAGGGTTTAAAGTTATTTTTCAGCAATACTTCACAAAGGGAATCTATAGGCAGGCATGCAGTTATAGGCTCCATGGTGATTGATGACTCTGCTAATACTCACCCTGCTATGAAGTAGCTGCTACCCTAGCATTGAAGGTGCCTCCAAAGTGCTGCTGCCACTCGTGCTGATGACTAAGCATCACCCACACTGTGAAGGTTGCCAACTGCCCTTCCAGCAGGCTGCAATGATGAGTCCTTTGAAAGACCTAATTAAGGTTGCCATCCTTAATCAGGCAGACCCCCTGAAACTTTCTTGATTTTCTGTCTCCGGGAACCTCCAAGGTCTTCTGTCCTATTGTTTTCGATTTGATTTATTCTTGTCATATTTACTGAGATACAGTGAAAAGTGTTGTTCTTTGTACTATCCAGACAAATCGTATCCTGCATAAGTATATCAGGGTGATAGAACAGAATGTTGAATATAGTGTTACAGCTACAGAGAAGGTGCAGAGAAAGATCAACTGTAATGTATGAGAGGTTGTTCCTAACCAATATTCATCCTGATACCAGGATCATGTACGCCTTGGAAATTCAGCCCAGAAGTAACTAAAGGCATGTTGAATTATTTTCAATGTAGCCCAGGGGAGTAAGGACCATCAGCCTGACCCATTAGCTTGAATCACAGTATATATATAGCAAAATGTTTATCAAAAACTTTGTGGTCATCTGAATGTTTATCTCCTAAAGTGCTTTGTCAACATTGCCAACACTCCTGTGAAATGCTTTGGGGCATTTTACTACATTTAAAGGCACCGTATAAATGTAAGTTGCTGATTTCACCATAATTTAAAGACTAGACTTGATTAACTGTAATCATTTTGTTGTATTTTATATGCCAGAAGTAAATTAACCAATGCAACAGGGAGGATCCCTTACCTAGGTGTTTTCATTATTTTAATGTTGAACCCACAGCTTTCCTGTCTATTACAATGTAAGAAAGTATTTACAGTCATAAATTAGTTTTGATGAGAAATATTTTAAGTGGCCGTGTATATGTGTACTCGAGGCTGGACCTGACCTAACTGTGGGGTATAATGTTGGAAAATTTGGCAAGAAGAATAAAAAAGGAGTGTATTATTTAAAGATGAGAGGTTGCAGGGGGATCTGGGTGTCATGGTACATGAATCCCAAAAGGTAATTATGCAGATGCAGAAAGTAATTAGGAAATTGAATTAAATGTTACCATTTATCGTGAGGAGAATTGAATATAAACGTAGGCAGGTTATGCTTCAGTTATTAAGGACACTGGTGAGACCATATCTGGAGTACTAGGCACAGTGTTGGTCAGAAAGATTGTAAGTGCTTTGGAGGCAGTTCAGCGAAGGTCTACTGGACTAATGGAGTTATAGATTCATACAGCATGGAAACAGACCATTCGGTCCAACTCATCCGTGCCGATCAGACAACCCAATCCGGGTTGACCCATTTGCCAGCATTTGGCCCATATCCCTCTTAAACACTTCCTATTCATATTCCCATCCAGATGCCATTTAAATGCTGTAATTATATCCACTTCCACCACTTCCTGCTTATTGCATATACACACCACCCTCTGCGTGGAAAAGGTTACCCCTCAGGTCCTTTTATGAATAGCAAGGGAATAGAGGGATATGGATCCTGTAAGAGAAGACAGTTTTAGTATGGAAGGGCAAAATATGTTGGCGCAGGCTTGGAGGGCCGAAGGGCCTGTTCCTGTGCTATATTGTACTTTGTTCTTCTCTAAGTCTTTCCCCTCTCACCTTAAACCTATGTCCTCTAGTTTTGGACTCCTTCACCCTAGAAAAAAGATCTTGGCTATTCACCCTATCCATGCCCCTCATGATTTTATAAACCTCTATAAGATCACCTCTCAGCCTCTGACACTTCTTCAGGGAAAGATGCCCCATCCTATTCAGCCTCTCCCTATAACTAAAACCGTCCAACCCTGGCAACATCCTTGTAAATCTTTTCTGCACGTTCTCAAGTTTAACAACATCAGAGTGGGTTGTTTTGAGGAAAGGTTGGACAGTCTGGGCTTATATCTGCTGGAGTTTAGAAGAGTAAGAGGTGGCTTAATTGAAACATTTAAGATCCTGCAGGGTTTGACAGGATAAATGTGCAGAGGATGTTTTCTCTAGTGGGAGAATCTGGAACTAAGGGTCACAGTTTTTAAAACTAAAGATCACCCATTTAAAAAGAGAGGTTTTTTTTTCCTCCCTGATTATCTCGAGTCTTTGGAACTCTCTTCCTGGAAACATGATGAAAGAAGAGTCTTTGACTATTTTTAAGGCAGAGGTAGATAGATTCTTCATAAGATCCATAAGGTCTACAAGACAAAGGTGCACGAGTACACTTTTCAGGCCATCAAAGCTCCTCTGTCAGTCAGCAAGATCATGACTGATCTGATGATCTTCAACTCCACTTCCTGCCTTTTCCCCATTGTCCTTGATTCCCTTACTGATGAAGAAATCTGTCTCGGCCTTGAATGTATTAATGACCCAACCTTGACTACTCTCTGCAGTAAAGAATTCTGCGGATTCACTACCTTCTTGAGAGAAGAAATTTTTGTTAAGCGAGAGGATGAAAGGTTATCAAGTGCAAGGTTTCAATCTGGTCAGCCATGATTGTGTTGAACGGCAGAGCGGATTTGAGGGACTGAATGGCCTACTGGTCATTTATATCTTCATATGTTAGCAGCAGAAGTAGGTTATATAGCACCGAACCCATTTTAGACCTGGTGCATTCAATAAAGTTGAAACAACTGAATTTCTCCCAACACACGGTGGCTTGTATCATTGGAGACCATCATTTAAACCAGCTGGTTGTCACGTTAATTTTTGTTCCAATTGCCAGACATATCCACATGTCAAAATCAATAATGATTTCTGAAGAATGGCATCATTCAAAAGAGAGCTATCTCTGTTTTACTATTTTTTAAGTTCTGGTCCCTCTTACGTTTTTGTGACTTCATAAAGAAAGACCTGAGCCATACCATTGTCCCAATTGCACATTGAATGCCACACTTCAATGTTTATTCCTCTGGACAGCCAGTTGAGCTGAGGACCAACTTGCTGGGTTTTCTTCTTGTAACAAGCTGGCACAACATGATGCCTTGGTCATGAAGTATGGCTGTGGAATGCACCTTTTGCATCAAAGGATTTATCCTGAATTTCCAAAAAATGGTGTTACTGGTTGTATTAGTAATCAATCCATTTCAGCCAGAAGTACTGCTGGTGTTTTTTTGCATTCCCCAATTAATAAAGTGTCTCAGTGGGCGGAAGAAATTCGTTTTATCCAGGAGCAAAAGGTTATTTGTAAGTCTTGGGAATTTTTCAATTTCACAGTACTTAAGTTGTTCGTTGCTTCTGCAGTGATGTCCAGTTTTATGGAACGTGCCGGAGTCATCAACCTTATAGATAAACTAATCTCACTAATCTTTATAGGAATAGTAGGAAAATATTGCGATTGAAGGGTATGCCCTTATTTGTTCTTTTTCTGTTTTCTTCTGCTAAGATTAAACTAGCCAGTCTTTATTGGAAATAGTAGGAAAGGTTGAAATTGTTATGATCAAGTCCTGTCTGGGAATTTTAAAATAATGTATGCATACTAATTTTATGCATGGAAAAGTTGTGCATTGTCAGAATATTTCAGATTAATGTGACTGGAATTTGACATAGGATGACATGTGGAGAGGTTGCACCATATATGGGATGGAAAGACTATTTGCTTTCCAATCCTATAATAACATTTGTACTTGCATCACAAGAGTTGCGTTTTTGATTGTTAACTCTTACAATGCCAGCAGTTGGCTACAGTTTTTATTTCAGCTATATTTTAAGCTCAAATAATGAATCAGTAATGAAGTACACCTAAAATGTTTTTAAAAACTTTTAAAAAATCGTTCACAGGATGAGGACGTCGCTGACTCGGCCAGCATTTATTCCACATCCCTAATTGCCCAGAGGGCAGTGAAGACGCAACCACATTGCTGTGGGTCTGGAGTCACATGTAGGTCAAACCAAATGGGATGGCAGATTTCTTCCCTAAAGGACGTTAATGAACCAGATGGATTCAGTGTCATCATTAGACTCTTAATTCCAGATTTTATATTGAATTTAAATTCCAC